CCTGGGCTCTGGTGCAATGGAAGGAGGTGTGTGTGTGTGTGTGTGTGTGTGTGTGTGTGTACACGTGCACACATACGTGCATGTATAGCTATATATATACACACAAATACATATATACACACATATATAGATACATACACACATATAATATCTATATCTGTCTATTTATCTATCCATCCATCTATCTATCTATCTATCTATCTATCTATCTATCTATCTATCTATCTATCTATCTATCTATCTTCTGATGTGTGCCCTGAGTCCTTGTCCTATGGTCTGCTGGAGCCAGGCAAGGCTAGGAGGAATTTGATTTGACAACACGGGCACCAAGAAAGGTCCTAACCCTTTCTGACTAAACTCTATGGTATCTGCCCTTTGGCTGGTGGCGCACATGATCTTAGTCATGGGTGAAGCGAGGGATCTGCCCCATCTTTAGTCTGTACTCCAAGCATCCTGGCTCAGAGGTGTCTGCCCCATACCGATCATGGCCCAGGCATTGGAGCCCAGGGCCAGCCGAGCGCCCTGACCAGCTCATCCTCAGCAGTGAGGATTCCCACGAATCCTCTGAGCCGGCTGAATCCCATCTGCCTGTGGTTGCTGTTGTTGTTGGTGGGGTGTTGCATGCAGGGGCCCCTGGTCTGCAGAGGGAAGAGGGCTCTTCCCTCCTCACCTGCCTGTGACAGAAGTGGCCTTGCTTCTCAGGCAGATGAAGGAGAAGGGCCTGGTGAGCATCCAGCGCCTGGCAGCCTGCCATTCGGAGGTCCTTCTCACCGGGAGGCTGCACGATGTGTCCTTGGCCGTGGCAGGGGAGGTGAGGCCTCTGCATGGCGGCTTGTGCACCATCCCCACACCCCCTTTCCCTGGGCAGCTGCTCAAGGTCATGGAGGGCCCCGATCTCTGGGACACAGTGAACATTTGGAATCCTGGGCTTCCATTTGTCACAGCTTGCATTGTCCCCTGTACCTAATGGAGAAATGGGATGTTCTGCACTGGATCCCCAACTCCAGGCCATTGTAGCACTGTCTCTCACGGGGCTGGGGCTCAGCCTGGGCTGGTCCCTGAGGGGGCAGGTGAGGGATGCTTGATACAGGAGGGGGAAGTGCCCTGTCCTCAGGAATGGATGCTCTGGCGGGGCGGGTGGGGTAGTGACACAGAGGATGCCATATTGGCTGTCTTGTGGCTCTGTGCCTTCCTGGGGTTGCTGTTCTTCTCCATGCAAAATGAATGTCACATGCCGCCTTGCAGTGTCTTTCTCTCTTTTTCTTTTTCTCTCCCTCCCTCCCTCCTTCCCTTCCTCCCTCCCTCCCATCCTCTCTCCCTCCTTCTCACCTTCCTTCCTTCCTTCCTTCTCATCTTCCTTCCTTCCTTCCTTCTTTCCTTCCTTTCCTTTCCTTCCCTTTCTTTTCTTTTTTTGTCGGTCATGGGGCCAGAACTCTGGGCCTGGGCACTGTCCCTCAGCTCTTCAGCTCAAGGCTAACGCTCTACCACTTGAGCCACAGCATCACTTCCAGCTTTTTCTGCTTATGTGGTGCTAAGGAATCGAACCCAGGGCCTCATGCATGCAAGGCAAGCACTCTACCACTGAGCCACCTTCCCAGCCCCTTCCCTTTCTTTTCCTTCCTTTCTCCTCTCCTCCCCCCCTTCCTTCTCCCCTCCCCTTTCCTGCTCCTTCCTTCCTTCCTTCCTTCCTTGCTTCCTTCCTGTGTGTGACTACTAGGCCTTGAACTCAGGGCCTGGGTGCTGTCTCTAGCTTTTGTGCTCTAAAGCTTTTGGCCCTCTACAACTTGAGCTACAGCTCCACTTGTAGCTTTTTGGTGGTTAACTGGAGCTAAAAGTCTCATGGACTTTCCTGCCCAGGCTGGCTTTGAACCATGATCCTCAGATCTCAACTTCCTGAGTATCTAGACTTACAGGTATGAGCCACTGGTGCTTGGCTCCCTGCAACAGTTTTAAAGACCAAATTGGGCCTCTTTGAAAAATGTGCTCTGCAGACTAAGTGGGTACAAGTTTTAGATGCTAATGATAACCATGGAATTAAGAGCTATGGTGATTACTAAGTAGGACTCTGCCTCTGAGCTGCTGTAGGCCTCTTCATTTCCAGCAGGGTGAGGGGTGCGGGTGGGGCAGGGCTGAGTGAGGGGATGGTGCCAGGGCTGGGTTGTTCTCAGTCTTTGTGTTTCGTAGCCCTTGTCCAGTAGTCCTAGGGGGCCCTTTTCCCCCCCTCCCCCCTCTCTCCCAGGTCACAAACCTCCGCTCCAAGGTGTCCCGCCTGGCCATCAGTACCCTAGGAGACCTTTTTCGGGCTTTGAAAAAGAACATGGACCAGGAAGCTGAGGAGGTGGCCCGCTGCCTGCTGCAGAAGATGGGGAACACCAGCGAGTTCATCCAGCGGGCGGCCAGCCGGGCCCTGGGTGCCATGGTGGAGAATGTGACTCCAGCCCGAGCCTTGGTGGCCCTCACGTCTGCGGGCGTCTAGTAGGTGGCTGCCTATTGTCTAGGGGGTGAGGCTGGTCCAAAATGGGGAGGCAGGAAGAGAGGCTCTACATTGGGGAAGGAGGGAAGGATAGGAATAAGCAACAGGGTGGACAGGAGGTAGAAAGTGAGCTGCAGAGGGTCCCTTGGGATGGTGGGGGTGGGTCAGAGTACAGTGGGGTCACACACCTCAGCCAGCGCCTCATCCATTTAGCTGGGAGGTGGAAGCTCTCTGCTTCCCAGTGGGCTGTTCCCATCTTTCCCTGGCCAGGCTGGGAAGAATGGGGTGAACCAGCAGGACTGGAAGGGGAGAGATGCTATTTGTTCTGCTCCAAGGCTGGAGATGATTGGTTGGTGGCCATGGTAACACAGGGAGACTGGGCTGCAGAGGCAGCTTTGGCTGTGTCCCCGAGGGGACCCTGACCCTCCCAGGGGAGTCATGCTTCTTTCTGATGAAATGTGGGCCACTGAGGAGAGCAGGAAGGGGGCGGGGCAGGGACTACTGTGAGAGGCAGAGTTGCTTAAGTCAAAATCAGACCAAAGACTTTTTCTCAGGTTTTTTTCTCCTGCAGGGTACAAAACTTTTCCTCCCCAGGAAGTCAGTCATTGAACTGATGCCCAGCAAGGCTTTTCAGCGCCTGCTGCACTTGCCGGCTACCTTTAGCCAAAGGGTGAACCATTTCTGGGCCACATTGTCTGGGTTCACATCGCAGATTGGTACTTACCTTTCTGAGCCCGTTTCCTCCTCACCTGTCAGATGGAGATAATAATGGGGCTGGCCCCCTGAGGTGGTCATGAGGAGTCAGGGAGTTGATTCGTAAGAAGCATGGAGAACGATTCCTGCCTCTAACATCTACTGACCCTGTATTTTGGCCAAATTAACTTGGGAGAAATTAATGGTACCATTTCTGGATTTCCTCCCTTTCCCTCACTTTCCTCATTTGCAGAGTGATGATAAAAATAGTAGCTTGTGGAGTTGATGGCTGACGAGTGAACGCACAGGGCCTGGCATTCCTGGGGGATGTGGCAATTGATCATTGTCAACAACAGCCCACGTCAGGTGTACCCCGGGACACCTGGAGCAGGGTTGCGCATTTGAATCCTTTGGGATCTTTTCAAATGAGAATTGTGCTTCAGGTGCCAACAATGCTGGCCTGTAGCCCACACTACATGTATGACCCTTCTGTGTTCCACTGGGATAAGATGCTGGGGAACAAAGGGGTCATTGTCATGTCATGGGCTGTGAACATAGAAGCCCTGCTTGAAAGAGGTGACACCAGATGGGTTTCTCTTATCAGAGTTCAAGCTCTGACTCCAATTCAGTTCAACAAACCTGTGCTGAGTTCCCGCTCTGTCAGGCATACACTGGGACCTGCAGAGCATTGGGTAGGCAGCAGTGGGAGACCTCATCCCCATTCCCAAGGACAAAGAAGGTCACTTTGTAGAGGACATTCGCCTATGGGCTGGGGGAGGAAGAGGAGACATGGATGGAGTAGGACTTTTCTAGGAGCGGGGAAAGATGGGCCTTGCATGTGGGTGGCAAGGGGCTGCGGGCTCAGGCAGGCCTTGAGAATGGTGAGCACAGGGTCTGTTTGGAAGAACACCTCGTGTCTTTATGCAGCTGCTCTTAATTTCTCCCAAGATCACTGGTCCCATTTAGCCCTGTGATCAGGAACTAATCGGTCTTTCCTGCAAGTTCCCCGGCCCACAAAGGATAACTTCTGGAGCCATTTCGGTCAAGACTCTCCCATGATAGATTTACATATGCCTTACTGGAACCCCCTCCCCTCCCCATGACTGACCTCTTGCTTATGACTCGGTCCTTTCAGCCATCGAAACCCTTTAGTCCGGAAATGTACTGCCGAGCACCTGTCAGCCGTCCTGGAGCAGATCGGTGCTGACAAGCTTCTCTCAGGCAGCAGGGACAGTACAGACATGCTGGTGCACAACTTGGTGAGGCTGGCCCAGGACTCCAATCAGGACACCAGGTAGGACAGGCCCCAGGCTCGGGGAGGAGGCAGCCCAGGCAAGTTTGCAGCCCAGAGAGACCTGGCCCTACAGCTTGTGTGGAGGATCAGGCAGAGGGGCCATCAGATGGATGGATGGAAGCCGAGTCCTTTCCTTCCAGCTGCTGACCTCCCTCCCTCCCTCCCTCTAATGTCACGTGTCCAGGAATGGTCGGTGCCTCCGGCTGCTACTTTTGCCCCTTCTATTCACCTTCTTCCTTCATGTTGCTCCTCTTTCCACCCACCATGGTTCCATTCTCTGCAAGACCGGTCAGTTTTTGCAAGAAGTATTTGCTGAGGGCTCTTTTGGTTATGGATAAAGCAATAAATAAGAAAGATTAAGCTCCTTTCTCGGTGTTGATGGCTCACACGTGAAGCCAGCTTGGGTAGAAAAGTCTGTGAAGCATTTGTTTCCAATTATCCAGCAAAAAACTGAAGTGGAGGTGTGGCTCAAGTGGTAGAATACCAGTCTTGAGCAAAAAGCTGAGTCAAGTCTCAAGGCTTTGAGCTCAAGCCCCAGTACTGACACATACACAAAAATTTAAGCCCTTGTTTTCTTGAAACTTCCCTCCTCGTTGAGGAAGGCACAAGATAAATACAATATAAGAGCATTTTGGATATAGATAGGAATGCAAAGGTATGACTCCAGGAGGATGGAATGTTGAATGGAGGACAACAACTTGAGCCTGAGTGCTGGCCACAGCTGAGAGCTGACTGGCAAGATGGAGGCAGCTTTCTGAGGATCTGGGCATGTGACTCAGGTGCAGAAAATGGTACTGAGGCCCCTGGGTAGGGACAATGTGGTGTTCAAGATTGAGGTCAGCCTCGCAGAGTGGAACATAGGAACAGGGGTGCGGCGGGAAACACAGGCCAGGGGTTGAGATTTGGGGTTGCATGATGGCACTCAGAAATCCTAGAGGATTTTTAGGTAGGAAGTTAAGGAGATATTTGAAGATTTTCAGTGAGAGAGCAACAGGATCTTATGTCTTCCAAGGCTACGCTTGGGGCCTGGTTGATCCCGCGCCTCAGTTCCCCACATCTGTTTGGATGTGTGCTTATCTAGGGCTACTGCCCCATGCCATCCTGATGGATGGATAGATAGATGGATGGTGTGAGTGCGTGCACATCTGTGTGTGTGTGCATGTGCACGTACAGGCTGCATTTCCACGCCACAGTCTCTGGAGCGTGTGGCCTGGTCATGTGGGCTGTCCATGTCCACAGGTTCCATGTCCCGGTGCTCCCTGGAGCACTGAAGTGCTGGCTCTTCTCCCCACTTGGAACCTCTGTGAAAAGTGCACTCATCTTCCCCATAGTGTCCCCAACAGCGACAAGGGGAATTTTCCAGAATCAGCCCAGGAGTGGTGCTGCTGTGCCGGGGCCCATTGACCCACTTAGAGGTCAATCGTTTTTGTTTTGTTTTGTTTTGTGCTGTACCTGGGGCTTGAACTCAGGGCCTGGGCACTGTTCCTGAGTTTTGTTTGTTTGTTTGTTTGTTGTCGGTCATGGGGCTTGAACTCTGGGCCTGGGCGCTGTCCCTCAGCGCTTCAGCTCAAGGTGAGTGCTCTACCACTTGAGCTACAGCGCCACCTCCGGATTTCTGGTGGTTTATTGGAGATAGGAGTCTCATGGTCTTTCCTGCCCTGGCTGGCTTTGAACCGCGATCCTCAGACCTCAGCCTCCTGAGTAGCTAGGATTACAGGAGTGAGCCACCAGCGCTTGGCTCCTGAGTTTTTTTTTGTTGTTGTTTTTTTGGGTTCGGTCGGGGGGCCTGAACTCCGGGCCTGGGCGCTGTCCCTCAGCTCTTCAGCTCAAGGCTAGCGCTCTACCACTTGAGCCACAGTGCCACTTTCAGCTTTTTTCTTTTTGCTTATGTGGTGCTGAGGAATCGAACCCAGGGCCTTGTGCATGCAAGGCATGCGCTCTACCACTGAGCCACCTTCTCAGCCTCTGAGGTTTTTTTTTTTTCTTTTTTAAGGCTAGAGCTCTACTACTTGAGCCATAGCTCCACTTCTGGCTCTGTGTGTGTGTGTGTGTGTGTGTGTCTTTTCTACCCAAGCTGGTTTCAAACTGCAGTCCTCAGATCTCAGCCTCCTGAGCAGCTTTCCACGTGTAAGCTATCAAATGGAGAAAGGAGCTTAATCCTTCTTATTTATTGCTTTATCCATAACCCAAAGAGCCCTCAGCAAGCTTAACTGGAGATAAGTCTCACAGACTTTCCTGTCCAGGCTGGCTTTGAAATGAAATCCTCAGATATCAGCCTCCTGACTAGCCAGGATTACAGGCGTGAGCCACAGAACCTGGCTTCAGGGGTCCAGTATGGTGGAGCTCTCCACCATGGCACACCAGTTGGCCTCTCTCCTGTCAGTGTGAGATGCCACCACCCCTGGCCCCTTGCCAATAAGTAGCAACATCTGCATTTCTGATTTGTACCATCTAATGGGTGAAATGAACGTGACAGTGCACCATTGTTTCACAGTGAATTGTAATTACCTCATTACAAATGGATTTGAGTGTTTTTATACAGTTGTTAGCCTTTTGAGATCTCTTTATATATCTCTATGCATATATCTCTTTCTTGCTGCTCGGTAGAGGACTGGTCTGGGAAGAGGGGGCCGGGATTGAGAAGGGGCAGTGGACATGTGGTTAAACTACAAGGGACAAGAGGTATTGAAAGCTGAGTCTAGGAGAGTGGGTGGTCTGGGCCTACTTTGAAGGCTGAGCCAACAGGATACGGGTGGCTTTCTCTCCAGATCTAATGCCACTCTCCCCTCTTCCTTCTGACTTCTTATACTGGATCACCAACTTTTCCCCCTCCCCTTCCCTTTCCTCTCCTCTCTCCCTCCCCCCCAATTCTTCCCTTCCCTCCCCTTCCTGCCCCTCCTGTCCTCCCTCCCCTCCCCTCTGCTCCCCTTCCCTTCTCTTCTCTTCTCTTTTCTCCCTTCCCTCCCTCTCTTCCTTCCTTCCCTTTTTTTTAAAAAATTTATTTTGGTAGTATTGGGTTTTGAACTCAGTTTTATGCTTGTTAGGTAAGGACTTTACCACTTGAGCCTTGTTCCTAGTCCCTTTTGATTTGGTTTATTTTTAGGTAGCTCTTCTTTTTTGTGCTCTTGGTCTTAGACTAAGATCTTCCTATTTCTACCTCCAATATTTTCTGGGATTATAAGTGTTCACCACCGAGTGTAGCCTCATGCTTGGGCACTGTCCCTGAGCCTCTTTGTGCTGAAGGCTAGCAAGTACTCTACCACTTGAGCCACAGTACCACTTCTGGCTTTCTCTGAGTAGTTTATGGAAGATAAGAGTCTCACAGACTTTCTTGCCTGGGCTGGCTTCGAATTGCAATCCTCAGATCTCAGCCTCCTGAGTGGCTAAGATTACAGGTATGAGATGCTGGTGCCTGGCTCTCATATTCCCTTATGGTACCTATGCTTCCCACTTTCCCTGTCGTGGTACCAACTACTTCTCCTTGGCTCCTTGGGGGGCGTTTCTGCACCCTGCCTGTCATCTGGATGCAGGTGGCTGTGGCCTGTCTTTAGTTGTTCCTCTACGTCTTCTGGCTCTCACTTAGGGTTCCAGCAAGCTCTGCGGCTCCCGTGCTTTCTTTCCACCCTGAACCTTTTTGTGCCAGCCCTGTGTGTCTATTCCTCTAGGGGATTCATCACCAGAAGTTCCACTCTACCTTCAGAGCCAGTGGTCATAGAGGAGCCCACCATCTTCTCTCCAAGCCTGCTTCTCTGGTTGTTGACCAGGCAGTGACTCTGGGATTTTTACCATGTGCACATTTGCAAACTTGATTGATGTTATCCATAGAATACCTAAATTCAAGTTTGCATTAGACAAACTATGCTGAAAGCCATTCTTTTCTTGTCAACCTTTTGATCTCTCTCCAAAGGCACGGTGGGCACTCTGCAGAGAGTTGTTGAGTTCCACTGCTGTTTAAAATGTCTTTAGAAATACTATACCATCATCTAACATTTAAATAGAAATGATTATCATGAAAGGTACATATAGCAATGGGGCATTCGTTGGATATCAATAAAGCAAGTGCTCATTGTTAAAAAAAAAAAAGGATCAGATTTCCACATTTTCTAGCAAAGCAACTGCTAAGACCTTCACCTGCAGAAGGAAAATACCATCCATAATATTGCCTTCAGTTTCTGAGGTGGCCTTCACACAGGGTTATCAGAGGCAGTGGGAATTGTCAGGATTTCCTCTTCCTGTGTTTTCTTAGTGGAAACTAGAATAGTAGTACATTTTTTCATCAATGGAGGCTTGGGCTAGGTGAAATATGGTCCTTCTACATGTCTTCTGTTCCAAATCCTGCAGTTTCAACCCCTGTGGGATCAATCCTTCCTGGATCCAACTACACCACTGCTGTATTTCATGTCTTCATGTCTTGCCTGGGCTATGATGGTGGCCTCCTAACAGGTTTTATGTCTTCTAGCCTTGTCCCTACCAATTTGCCATTCTGCCAAAGACACTGGCTAAAATCTGATCATTCCCCAGCCTCCCACTGCCTGCAAGCGAAGTCCAGCTCCTTCCTGTCTTTATCCAGTGCATCCCACTGACTTCTCCAGCCTATTTTTTTCCTGCGTCCAGCTCCTACTCACTAGTCCTCAGTCATTTCCTGTGATGTGTCAGAATGACATGAAATGGTCCTTCTCCTTCTACTAATTCCTTAGTCCTGCCCCATGTGTAAACTCCTCTTCATCCTTTGAGTCCCCAAAGCCACCTCTTCTGTGATGCCTCTTAATCTAGTTGATCTATTCCCATCTCTTATTGTGTCATTGTACCTTCCCTCAACTTTCCAAATGTCCCAACAGGAAAAAAGGCAAGTACATTTTGATATAGTCATTCAACAGAACATTGGATAGCTTTGAAAAAGGATGCTTATAATGCATATTAATAAGATATGGGCAGATGATGAATGAAATAGTGCTACAGTTGGATACAAGTTACATAAACATTCTGCTGTCTACTAAAATATATATACATACCAAAAAGATTAACAGGTAAACATAAACATTCATAGTGATTTTCTCTTGCCATTATGGCTGCTGATGTTTAATCTTTCATGACTAATTCTTTAACTGGGTAGAGATTGCTTTCATAATTAGAAAAATTCTGAAAACTTCCCCGACTATAATTAGGAAAATGGTGTGAAGCTGTAGAACCAATCTCTTGTGCACGTCTGTATTTGTTTCTTCATCTTGCTTTTCTTCTCCCTATGGCAGGTTTTATGGCCGGAAGATGGTGAATATCCTGATGGCAAATGCCAAGTTCGATGCGTTTCTGAAGCAATCCCTCCCCTCTCATGACTTGCGGAAAGTCATGGCAGCCATTAAACAGCGTGTAAGTGGGTGGACAGTGGCGGGTGGACAGTGAGTGGAAGGCTTCAGAGGGAGAGGGCCTAGGTCAGAGTTGGAGGCCTTCTGTGGGTCAAGGGAGTAAGTTCCAGAAGTGTTAGTTGTTTCCTGACAGGTGGCTTACATGTGATTTCGGTCCCCTGTGCCCAAATGCAATTCTGTCCCATGCTGCCTATGTCCCTTGAGCTCCACCTTTGTCTTTTAAGGGGGGATCTTGATCTGTGCCCCAGCTACCTCTAGGACTCTGGTAGGCTCATCTGTGATCCTTGGAGCTCTGCCGGGCTGAGGGTCACTCCTCTTGTTATCCATACAGAATGCCAGGCAGCTCCCCCAAGGGCTGCTTCTTTTGATTTACATTTGGTGTGTATTTCTCAAGGGCCTAGAAGATAATCATGAACTTCCTTCTGCCAAAGGCCGCAAGGTGTTGCGAAGTCTGGTACCGTGTGAGAACGGGCTGCCCATGGAGGAGGGGTATGGATGCTTTCATCTCTCTGGGTCTCCACAGTTAACATGGCCAACAGCTTGCCAAGGGTTGGGGTTCCTCTAAGGTGGATCACAGTCCTGGTGCACAGCTGAGCCCTAGTGGGTCTGAGGTACCCAAGGATGGATGTGTTAACAGAGTTCCCCCACCCACATGTCTGGCAGGCCGAATCTGGGGCTTAGAAGTATCTGCCAGTAGAAGCTGGTTTCTGCAGTCTTGGCAGAAGGGAATATAATTTCACTAGCATAAGAAGGTGCAGGCTGAGCCGGGCGCTGGTGGCTCACGCATGTAATCCTAGCTACTCACGAGGCTGAGATCTGAGGTGGTTCAAAGCCAGCCCAGGCAGGAAAATCTGTGAGATTCTTATCTCTAATTAACCACTAGGAAACCAGAAGTGGCGCTGTGGCTTAAGTGGTAGAGTGCTCACCTTGAGCTGAAGAGCTCAGGTCAGTGTCCAGGCCCAGAGTTCAAGCCCTACTACTGACCAAAAAATAAAAAAGAAAAGAAAAGAAGGTGCAGGCTGGGAGCAATTACGAACCAAGTAGGAGCCAATAGAATCTGCTGAAAATTCTGTCTTTTCCTCCTGAACATGTAGAACTTAGCAAGTAACTAATATAATGACTTAAAAGGCTAATTGTGGACAAGTGATAGATGCACAGATGGAAACATTACTATCTACCACTTATTAAATTGAAGTGACCATGTATATTATCTTGCTTGAAGACATCTTGTTTTGTGTGTGTGTTGGTCCTGGGGCTTGAACTCAGGGTCAGGGCACTGTCCCTGAGCTTCTTTTACTTAAGGCTCAAGTACTCTACCACTTGAGCCATAGCTCCACTTCTGGCTTTTTTGGTGGTTAATTGGATATAAGAGTCTTATGGACTTTTTGGCCTGGGCGAGCTTCTAACCACAATCCTCAGATCTCAGCCTCCTGAGTAGCAAGGATTATAGGCAAGAACCACTGATACCTGGCATTTGAAGATATCCTTGACAAAAGAAACAATACCTATCATTTGTATCTTTTCTTGTTCTGAAGAAGGCAGTATGTCCTAGAGATATAAATTGGGTTAACAAAAGTTACTTTAGACAAAAAAAAATTCTGTGTCCTGGGAAAGTCACGGCTGAGCTCCTTGGCTGGGTGTCAGAGGAGACTTTACCCACCTCCTCAGTGGTAACTTTCCGCCCTCCCTCAGTAAGACCACAGCCCCAGGGCCAGCACCTCCGTCCTCTCTGCCTGCTGTGTCATTTACTGTGTGCCTAGAACAGGCCTGCCTGTGGGCTCTGCACAGTCTAGCTCACGGTCACCTTCTCCTCACTGCTGAGTCTGGCACCCTGTGTTCCTGCATTCTCAGGCTGGACAGCTGCCCTCTGCTCTTCATAGCTCAGTCTCATTGTTGTCAGCGCCTGCACAGCACTTGGTTACTCAATAGGCAGGAGTGTGGGAGGCGGGAGCGAAAAAGCGAGACTGTTGATTGTCCAGCGAATGGGTGGACTTTAGGGTATGACCTGAGCTTGGTGACCATGGCTTCGAATTATGGGTGGAAGAGGGAGGGGTTTTATATGCAACTCTGGGCCAGGCCAGGGGGCTGTGGTGGGCATATGATCCAATGTGAAAGAACAGGGGCATCTTCATTAGTTCCTGGACAGTGTGAGCAGAGCCTGCCCCATGCCAACCAGGCACAGGCCACAGATGCCAGGCAGACAGGGGGCATTGAGGACCTTCAGAGTCTTTCCCACTCTGGTGGTTCCGTGGCAGAATGCTGTCTAAGAAAAGGCAAGAAGAAAGCCTGGACAACTAACCTGGGGATGAGACCCTAGACAACCATACTGTTGTCTTCTGAGGTGCAGAAGCTTGCAGAATTCCCAAGGCCAGGTTCCCGAGCTATTGGTGGAGAAGCTGAGGATGGTGACATGGGTATCTCTGCCTGCACAGCCCCTGGGAGGGGCTGTGGGCCATAGGTGTGTTCATCCCCTGGCCCCTTCCCCAGGGCTCAGCCTTTCTTTCTGCCTAGGCTTGGCCCCAGTGGCCCGCGGCTAGCAGGGCTGCGCTCTTCCACACGGGGTGGTGCAGAGGTGGTGGAGCAGCTGCGGGAGCTGACGAGGCTGCTGGAGGCCAAGGAGTACCAGTCTCGGATGGAAGGTGTGGGGCAGCTGCTTGAGTGCTGCAAGACCAAGCCAGAGCTCATCACCGCCCACCTGGTCCAGGTAGCGCTGCCCCCGCTGCCCTGGGTGGCATGTCCTCCCTTGTGGGGCCAACTTCAACTTGGAAGATTCTGCACCGGGCTGGACACTGGGCCAGATATCTCAGGAAATAGAGAGGCTGCTAAGCACTTGCTTTCCAGTTGGCCTCCATATTCCCCAAAGACCATGTCTGTCATCCTAGCTGCTCAGGAGGCTGAGATCTGAGGATTGTGGTTCAAAGCCAGCCCAGGCAGGAAAGTTCGTGAGACTCTTATCTCCAATGAACAACCCAAAAGCCAGAAATGGGGCTGTGGCTCAAGTGGTAGAGCTCTAGCCTTGAGCAAAAAGAGCTCATAGACAGTGCCCAAGCCCTGAGTTCAAGCCCCATGATTGAAGCAAGCATGCACGTCTGAGCGCACACATGCACGTGAGTGCACGCACACACACACACACACACACACACACACACACACACACACACACAAGACAACCTATTATGAGAGGCTGATCATACCTTCTCATCCTTCTGGTGGATCTATGGGAAAAAGGCTAGAAGGCAGAGATTGAGGGTGAGGGAGCTGGGGCAGAGACTTAGGTTGCTTTGGGTTAGTTATTTGCATAATATTTGGGGACAGAACCTGTGGCTGTGCAGGTGTTTGAGCCATGGTAGTTGGCCTAGTGGGGTCAGAGTAGCTATACCCTTTCACAGGCTGAACCAGCTGGATGAATGTTTACTTCTGACAGCCACATGGTGGAGTAGGAACCAAGGTTGAATCAGCAGGGTATCTATCCAGGTTTCTTACTAGCTGTGTGATCTAAGGCAAGTTATTTACCCTCTCTGAGCCTTAGCTGTTAGTGGGAAAATGGAGATATAACTTACCTGCATGGGTTGTTAGGACTGTTGGGTGACAGACAACCTACCATGATGCTCACAATGCTTGACATGCCAGGAACACACAAGAAACATTAGTTTTTCCCTTCTCTGTTTTCTTGGATGGTCCTGAGGCTTGAACTCAGAGCCTCATGCTTGCTAAACAAGTACTCTACCACTTGAGCTATGGCTCTATGGCCCTTTTTGCTTTGATTATTTTTGTTTTTCAGTTTGAGTCTGAGTTTTGCCTGGGGCTGGACTTAGACTGTAATCCCCCTGCTTCTGCTTTCAGCAGAGCTGGGATTGTACATATGAACCACCAGCTCTAGCTCGTTCTTTGAGATAGGTTCATTATAGCATTTTGCTTCTACTAGCCTTGAACTTCTTGATCCTCCTATCTCTGCCTCTCAAGTAGCTGGGATTACAGGAATGAATGCCCGGCTTGCCTGCCATGTTTTGAGTAGGTCAGCGCTTCATCACAGCAAGTATTCCAGCACAGATCAGGGGGACCGCTTTCAGGGGTTCAGGAAGAGCCCCAATCAAGGGCAACTGGTCAGACCATCAAGTTTCAAATGGACTGTTGTCCAGCCTGGTTTCCCATTGGTTTCTGTTCCCTTTATAGGTCTTCGATGCATTCACGCCAAGGCTTCAGGATTCCAACAAGAAAGCCAATCAGTGGGCGCTCGAGTCCCTTGCCAAGATGCTGCCCCTCCTCAAAGACAGTGTGTACCCCATGCTGCTCTCCCTCATCATCGCTGTTGCAGACAACCTCAACTCCAAGAACACCGGGATTTCCACTGCCGCCGCCACTGCGCTGGATGCCATGATGGACAGCCTGGGTGAGCGGCCCTCTGTGGCCCCCATAGGCTCTGGAGGAGGCAGCTGGCTTCTGAGTTGCCACACCCACTTTTGTGATTGGCAGCCAGCAGGGTGGCAGATAGCCTTGATTGGCCCAATACTTTTCCTGAGGCTGTACAGGGCAGATGGTGGGCCCTGGGTCCCTGAAGCTCTTGCTAGAGGCTTCTCTATACCTGGCCCACTGGGTGGTCAGGAGTGGAGGGGAGGGGAGATGGCTGCTGTAGCCTTCCCATAGTCACCTGAGGGAAATGGCTTCCAGGGAGTTGCTCAGCACCATGGGATGGGAGCTGGTTTGGAGTTCAAAGCAGGGCTCAACAAGACCAGGGCAGAAAGAATTAGAGGAGGAAAGAATTAAAAAGGAACCACAGGAGAAATATGCTTTGCATATCACATCTTGATTGGGTGCAATTTTCCATGCACCTCATCTATTCCCTTCCCTTCATAGATGGTTAAAAGGTATATCGGGTATCTAATATGTACGTGGAGGTACAAGGTCAAAACTTGAAGAGCATCAAGTAGTACTTGAGTAGGCCTCTAGCCAGGCCAGAAGAGCAATGAGGTTTTGCTTGTGTTTTGTGTGTTGGTTCTGGTACTGGTGCTTAAATTTAGGTCCTGGGTAGTCAAGGCTGATGCTCTACCACTTGAGCCACAGTTCTACTTCTGGCTTTTTGGTAGTTAGTTGGAGATATGATTTTCCTGCCTGGGCTGGCTTTGAACCATCATCCTCAGATCTCAGCCTAGGATTATAGACATGAGCCACCAGTAGCAAGCTTAAAACTATAACCCAGGGTTGGTCTTGAATTTGTGATCCTTCTGCCCTAGCTTCCTCATCGATCACCAGCATATGCCACTATAGCGGGCTAGTTTTTACCAGCAAGTCTTACCTCAATACAAGGAGGCTTCTGATCTGAAACCTGCCCTGTGTGCCTTGATGCTCTGTGTGTGTGTGTGTGTGTGATGTCTTCTTTCTGGCATTCACAGACTATCCCAGCTGAAGTGAGAAACCTCTCCTGGTACATTCACCCCTCCCTGTCCTCCTATACATAGGCCTGAACCTAGCTGCTGGGTTTGGGCCAGCAGCTGTGTCCTTGGCTAGAGTCTCAGTTACAAATCAAAGGTCTGGTCAAGCCCTCTCTGTCTCCTGAGTTCATAAATATTGTCAATTTCCGCATTTCATCTCACAGGGAATTTATGATTTGCTGAGCTTGTTGCTGCAGAACAAACAATATAAATCCACCTCTAAATAACAGCTTGTTCTCAGTGCTGCTCTGGGTAAGTGAGATTGCTGTTGCCAATAACCAAGCTTCTTGGTAAATCACTGCGGACTTGGATTTATTGGGCAAACCTGCACCAGGCGAAATGGACTCTAGTTATTTGAGGAGGATGAGTAACTACCTCTAGGGAGAGGACTTTTAATTAACTCTTCCTCCTCCTCCAGGTTTTTTCCATTTCTGTTCTTTGCCACTAGGCCAGCCTCCTTGAACATGGTGGCATTTTGGGCATCAGAGTCTGGTGTCTTCCACAGTCACAGGACTTACGTACCCTTCTATTGGGGGCCCTGCTGTACCCAACGAGGGCAGGCGCACTGCAGAGCAAGTGGCCTGGAGATGCCGTGTGTATTTGTCTGTTTGCTGCTGCTGTCATGACACAGTGGAGGCTGGGAACTTTATAAAGAAAAAGGTTTATTTAACTGATGGTTCTGGAAGCCTAAGAGCATGACATCTGCTAAAACCTGCTCGTGTGGGACCTAACTGGCTTCTTGGGACCAGCATTAAACTTTTCCAAGGGCGATGTCCTCAGTGGTCCAATGCCTTTCCATGAGGCCTCCCCTCTTAGAGTTTTTACCACACGCACCATTTCTACCCTAGGTACCAAGCGTCCATCCCCTGACCCTTTGGAGAAGGACAAAGCACGTGCAAATCACAGCAGCCTGCTTCTATGGTTTTGCCACACCTGGAGGCAGGGTTGCATCTGTGGTGCTCTCGGTCTTTAGGGACAGGGTCTCCTGATGAATGGCTGAAAATGGCTCCTCTAGTCCACTGGACAGAGGTTTCAATATGAGGAGAGTGAGGCAGGTGTGAGGAGGACCAGCTTCTGTTCTTGTGTGTGTGTGTGTGGGGGGGGTCATGGTGCTTGAACTCTGGGCTCAGGTGCCCTCCCTGCACTCTTGAGCTCAAGGCCAGCGCTCTACCACTTGAGCCACAGCAGCACTTCTGGTTTTCTAGTGATTTCTTGGAGATAAGAGTCTCACAGCCTTTCTTGCCCAGGCTGGCTTTGAACTGTGATCCTCAGATCCCAGCCTCCTGAGTAGCTAAGATTACAGACGTGAGCCACCAGCGCCCAGCCCAGCTTCTGTTCTAATCCTTAGTTCCGTGGTTGGGCTGGAAGGGAATGCTATTGGCCTTTAAGGGTTGAATGAAGGGCAAAACATCCTTGGCTTTTTAAAAGGTTCTCTATGGCTGGAGCCTACTGGGTGACATGCAGCCTTGGGTTGAGGTAATTGTTGAACAGGTATGGTAGTGAGCTGCCTAGGCGAGGTGGTGTGGTGAGCCACACCCTCTCAGCCCTGCCAGCCTCACTGGTTTTGAAATCGGTCTTAACTGTGACGTGACAAGCTGGTTTGTACACACAGGGAGATCAGAGCCAGGGGATTTAGGTCAGTACCGTGGAGAATTCATCCTTTGCCAGCAAGTGCCTGGGTGGAGTCAGTATTTTATCAAGAAGAGCTTGTAGCTGCCTGCGGTCATCTGAGCCCAGCCTGCTCCTCCTCAGGAAAATGAACATAAATAATTGAGCTTCCCTGGGTCCAGAGCCTTCTCCAGGGCCTGCTGTTACTAACACAGTCTCCAGTAGCTTCCTGAGCCTCCTGGAAGTGGAAAGGAACTTTCTTCCATGCTGGCTTCTTGCTGCCCTCCAGGGATTCTAGGCTCCAATCTGGAGAAAGGCCATGCATTGCTTAGTAGAAACTCATGAAGCAAAAGCTCAGCATGCTCCTGCTTGTTTTCCTGAGTGCCGGGGCCAAGGCGATGAAGAGCCACGCCACGTGAGGCCCCCATCTTGCACAAAGCCCCGATGGTCCATTCAAAGGGGGTCGCTGGTATTCTTAGGCAACCTCTTGAGCTTCCTTGTGATTTCGGAATTCAATGATAAAGTAGACTCCTGAGCCCAAGTCTTATTTTTTCTACCTCCTCGGCTCTCCTGAGGGCTAGTGGGGGTTCAATGAAGCGTGAATTGACAGAGAAGGCAGAGATTTGCTACTGTTCCCTTTTGGGGAGACAGTGTGGGGGGGTTGCTCCCAGATCTCTTCCATTTGTCTTGGAGTCTCTCTAGCTTGAGGTCCAGTGACATCCTTTCTGCTCAGCACAGGATCTTCTGATATCAGAGGGTTATTCTGGGATTAAGGCCGTTCCCAGTCAGACTGGTTGGCCCTGGTCTTTGGGCCCTGATACTGGTTTAGTTACAACAGAAACATCATGAATTAAAACATTAGACTGCTGACAGCTCAGCTTGTCCCGGTTGACCTTGGCATTCAGGTTTCTCTGAGCCAGAAGGAGCTCTTAATTTAGCCCAGCCCTGGCCTGGTCAGGGCTGGAGAGAGGAGATAAGCTTGGAATGAGGGAGGCTTCCAGTTCACTTTCACTGGTCTTATTCGCTGATCTTAAATGTATTACTTTATGTAAATCATATGATTGACATTATATTGTTAATGGAGTTTTAAAAAAGTCATCCTTGCTGAGAACCAGCCACTTAACAATATCTCTGTCTTCTATTGATTGTCTGCATTTGTGCAGGTTTCCTGAGTTAAAAATCATGTGAACCCAAATTTCATCTTGTTTCTTGTTTCTTTCTTTCTTTTTTTTTTTTTTTTGTTGGTTATGGGGCTTGAACTCTGGGCCTGGGAGCTGTCCCTCAGCTCTTCAGCTCAAGGTGAGCGCTCTAACTCTTGAGCCACAGTGCCACTGATCTTGTTTCTTTTATCTAACACTACTGTTTCCCATGCTCCTCACTATAGTCTTTCTAGTTAACTTCAGAATATAAATGCTCACTTGTACCATTGTAAAATCATACTTATTAATTATTGAAAAAGTAGAAAATACGAAGCATTGGAAAAGAAATACAACCAACTCCCCAGAGTGAGTTCCAACTCCTACAAAGAAGGCATTATTAACATGTGGAGTTTTTCATGTTAAGTCTTTTTCTGTGTGTGTCTGTGTATATAGTTTTGTATATAGTTTGTATTTCGTTTTGATTGAATTTTTATCTTGCTGTTAAAAAAAAAAAGATCAGATTCTGAGCATTTGAGTGTGATCACATGTGCAAATCTCTTTTCGTGACCCTGTCAGGTGGCCATACCCTAGCCTATGTGTGTCTATGCAAGTGGATCATTCTAGTTTCTCCTGGGATGATCTTTCCTAGTTTGGGTCACCATGGAGAACTGTCGCATCTCAAACTTATTGTTGATTGTTGGGAGGCCATTTTGCTCTAATTTCCTTGCCACCATTGCCTGTCCACTGTATTTCTAATACTTTCTAAAAGCTTTTCTCTGGCTTCTGGGTAGCCTGAGGATGATGGGGCCTGGGGTAGCCTCAGAGTCTTGCTGTGTATGAGGTCCCCCTGGCCCTGTGCTCTTTTGTAGAAGGGGAGCCTGGGCCCAGGAAAGAGTCTTTGGCCTGCCAACCAGTGGCTCTTTCTCCCCATGGCATGCCTTCTAGAATGTTCTTTTCATTCATGGCTGCTTTGGGAGATGGAAGAGGAGCCTGTAGGAACTTGAATGAAGTTAATGGAGCATTGTTTTCAAGCTTTCAAGGATTAGATTCTAGCCTCTTGTTGGGTCTCTTTACCACATATAAACTGTGTGTTCTATGCCTGGCCCTAAGCATCACATTAAGTCATTTAATCCTCATAACAACTCTATGAGAAAGGTACCAGGATTATCCCCATTTTATAGATGAGTAAACTGAGTCATAGAGACCAATCAGTGACTTCAAGAGTTACACAATAGAACATGAAAAAGGTAGGACCTAAACATAGGTAATTAGCACCCTGAACCCATACCTTCCACCACTATGTTTTTGTGTTGCTGATTAAACCTGGGGGAGCTTTCCCTATGAAAGTAGCCAGAGCAAGACAAGCTACCTTCCTGGGTCCATGCTCTGCGACTCATAAATGATAGTCTGGGAACAAGGCAGCTTGTTTTAACATTGTTCTGCACTCCACAGTATGGTTTATACTAGTTGTAGTGGAGCATGGTCTGGGACAGATGTCTGCTGCATGTGCATTTCCTTCCTCCCTTCCTTCCTTCCTCCCTTCCTTCCTTCCTCCCTTCCTTCCTTCCTTCGTTCCTTCCTTCCTTCCTCCTTCCCTCCCTCCCTCCCTCCCTCCTTCCCTCCCTCCCTTCCTTCCTTCCTTCCTTCCTTCCTTCCTTCCTTCCTTCCTTCCTCCCTTCCTTCCTTCCTTCCTTCCTTCCTTCCTTCCTTCCTTCCTTCCTTCCTTCCTTCCTTCCTCCCTCCCTTCTTTTCCTTCTTTCCCTTCCCTTCCTTTTTTTTTTTTTTGTCGGTCATGAGGCTTGAACTCTGGGCCTGGACACTGTCCCTCAGCTCTTCAGCTCAAGGCTAGCACTCTACCACTTGAGCCACAGCACCACTTCCGGTTTTCTGGTGGTTAATTGGAGATAAGAGTCTCATGGATTTTCTTGCCTGGGCTGGCTTTGAACTGTGATCCTCAGATCTCAGCCTCCTGAGTAGCTAGGATTACAGGCATGAGCTACCGGCACCTGGCATTGCCTGTGCGGTTTTTAGTGCTTCCCAAGTCACTTCTTTCTGGCTCTCGGGGCCAGGAGGAAATGTGAGCATTGTGAAAAGGAGGGAGAACTTCTTGGCTTTCAAATAAAAGCTCCAGATGAATGACAGAGATGTGTGTGTGTGTGTGTGTGTGTGTGTGTGTGTGTGTGAGAGAGAGAGATAAGCAGAAGCACCCAGAAGCAATAATCAGGTGACATTGATAGAAAATCTATTTGTACACAATCACAACATTACCAAGCGCCCACCCCCAGGCCACTTGTTAACTGCAATGTTCTAGAACTTGAAAACCCTTTTACTCCCAGGACAAATTACTTTCCAGACTGCTGTTGGCTTTTGCACACATGCGTGCATTTGCTCCTCTGTGTCCCTCACAGGCTTCACAAGGAGCGCAGGGGCGTGAGGAGTGGCCACGTTGCTGGATGTGTGGCCCAGGGGGAATGGGAGCCTCAGGACAAGAGGCCGGGGTGCGGTGGGCTGTGGGGAATGACTCCCCCAGGGAGGCCTCAAGACTGCTCCTCATGAAGTCTGGCCTAGAGATGTCAGCTCCTGGACCACAGAGGCTGTGGTTTGACAATCCTCTCCAAGACTCATGTTGAAATTGATTGCCATTGTGACAGGACTGAGTGGTGGGACCTTAGAGATATTTATGCCCTCATGAATAGATGAATGCCATGGTTCTACGGAGGTAGGTGAGAGTAGGTCATTTGCCCTTTGCCTTCTGCTCTGGTGATCAGGTCAGATGCAGGTGCTATGTTCTTAGACTTGTCAGCCTGAGTCAAGTATACTTTTTTTTTTTCTGTGCTAGCACTAAGGCTTGAACTTAAGCCCTCCAGTTGTTGCTTGACTTTTATGTGCTCTGCCATTTAAGCCATACCCCCATTTCTGGTTTTATGCTGGTTCACTAGAGATAAGTCTCTGGGATTTGTATGGTCAGGCTAGCTTTGAACTGCAATCCTCAGATCCCAGCCTCCTGAGTAGCTAGGATTACAAGCATGAGCCACTAGCTCTGGCTCAAATACATTTCTGGTTATAAAGAATGCAATCTGGGTGCTGGGAATGTGGCCTAGTGGAAGAGAGCTTGCCTAGCTTGCATGAAGCCCTGGGTTTGATTCCTCAACACCACATAAACAGAAAAAGCTGGAAGTGGCACTGTGGCTCAAGTAGTAGAGTGCTAGCCTTGAGCAAAAGAAGCTCAGGCCCTGAGCTCAAGCCCAAAAACTGGAAAAAAAAAGAAGAAAAGAATGCAGTCTGTGGCTTTCTGTTATGCTTACAGGAGATGGGCTAAGACTGTAGGACACACTGCTGGGCCACTGTGGTGACTCTGGGTTGGACCTCTTCCCATCTTTCCTCCCAACAGCTTTAGGCATCTCATTACTTGCTGAGATTACAGTGGCTGCAAGATGCCAGGAGCTGGGCATGCTGGGACCTTCGCAGTTCATGTGAGAAGCAGTGTGGGGTGTAAAAGAATTCCTGCTCATGCATCCTCTAGGCCAGCATGCCTTTATCAGGAAAGGGCAACTTTCCTTTCCTTGCATGACTGTGAGGAAGGCTGGTCTTCAAGTTTAACAATCTGAGAAACTAGATGACATCAGTTAAAATGGAGAGGAATAAGCAGCTTCTAAAACTCTGGGCTAAAACTCTGTTTCTAAAACTCTATGGGCTCTTGCTGCCCTGGGTTAGATTCCTCAGTGCCACATAAACAGAAAAAGCTGGAAGTGTTGCTGTGACTCAAGTGGTAGAGTACTAGCCTTGAACAACGAAGCCCAGGGACAGTGTTCAAGTCCCAGGATTGGAAAAAAAAAGAAATACAATCCAAGAGGTAAAGAACATTTTGATCCTGAGACATCCCTGATCCTGTCTGGGGAGGTACTGAGACCCAGAGCTTCTGCCATGGGTGTGGCCGGGTATCTAGATGAGCTGTGTTCCTGGAGCTGGATGTGGCTTGGGAAAGCTGGACAGGTGGGAAAAGGGAACTGGGATGATTACAAAAAAAAATAAAAAGTTAAAGCTGGGTGCTGGTGGCTTACACCTATAATCCTAGATACTCAGGAAGCTGAAGCTGAGATCTGTGGATTGAAGTTTGAAGTCGGCCAGGACAGGAAAGTCTATGAGACCCTCATCATTAAATCACTACCAAGAAAATGGAAGTGAAGCTGTGGCTCAAGCTTAGGGACAGTGCTCAGGCCCTGACGCATGCATGCAAGCACACACACACACACACACACACACACACACACACACACACACACACACACACACACACCTCCTCAAAGTGGAATTGTAGCACATGAAGGATGAACTCTGGCATCTGTGTGTTCATGTTGGGCATGGGCCTCCACCTACCTGGTTTACAAGCAAGGGGGAGTTGGGCCTAGGTTGTGAGCTGACAAACTGTTGAGGGACAGTCAAACACCCGTAGCCTCCAAATCCCCACTTCTGGCCCCACCAGAGCTGGCCATGTGTGTCTGTTCCTGGTATGATGAGCAGCTGTCCTGGGTCCCTGTGACACAAAATACCAGTGCAAGAGTGAAGAAGGGGCCTTGGGGGCCCAAGTTGAGTTGGTTGGTCACGGTGGCTTTGTACTTTACACAAGCACAGAGCATCCTTCCCTGGGTCAAGTTCATGTTGAAGGACCTTAAACATCAGGTTCATCAGAGTTGCTTACTGAGAGAAGTGTGGAAGACCATGTTTTACTTAGTTCCTAGCTCTGTGTCTATTATATAAGGATATCAGTAAGTCTTCAGTGTGGAAACAAAAGATTCCCTGGTTAGAACACAAGTTCGGACTTTGAGGTGAGCCATGACTGATGAATTCTAACTTCGACCTTTTACTAACCTATGTGTGACCATGGCTGAGTGCCTTAGATTTCCTAGGACTATAAATATATTGATATGTCCACATTTCCATCCATCTCTATCTATCTGTCTGTCTATCTATCTTCCATCTACCATCTTTTTCTCCAAGCATGTGATTTGGAAAAATTACAGGCAATACAAACCAAACCCATAGAGTAAACCCAGATGCATTGGAGCCCTTTAACATCCGGGTGTTCACTCTTCTTCAATTACCCCACGTCCACTCCCTTTTTAAAAGCGACACCATAGTGACTTGGGAAAATGAACTCTCCAGAGAGTCTTTTCCCCACATAGGTGTGTGGTCACGCAGTACCATGAATACCCATGCTTTTCTTAGCCCAGAGCATCGTGGCCACTAATATCCCCATCTCTTTCAGACCACCTCTGCCTCCTGCAAGCGTTTGCTGGGCGTGTGCGTTTCCTGAGTGGCCGAGCAGTGCTGGATATCACAAAACGCCTGTCAGGTGAGCCCCCCGCAACCTATTGGCTAAGCCGGCTTCAAACAGGTGGGGCCAGCAAGGCAGGGTGGGGCTTTGATGAGGAAGGCTTCCTACCCTGGGGGTGAGAACAGGGTGGAACTAAGATCACTCAGGGGAGCAGACGTGGAAGGAGCCCTCTTCTGTTGCTCAATATGAGTGTTGTGGGTGGGGAGGAACATCTCCTTGAGTAAGTAATTTCGGTGACCTAGAACTGGGCAGGCAACCTTACTTGAACATATTTACCTCATTCCTTTCCAAGAACATTAAAAAGAAGCAGTCCTCCAGAGCTCTTCTGCTAACTTGCTGTCAGCTAGGAACAGAGGAGAAAATTCCCTTTGCCATGAAACCTGGACTAATAATAGCACAGCTTAATTGGAGTTGACTTTTTGCTAATTACTTCAGCTGTCTTTTAAGCCTCAGTTTATTGGGGTTTGTTCCCCCACAATGGCTTCTAGAAAGGTTTCTGCACCCTTCTCTCCAGCCAGAGAGTGAGTGACCCGGCCAGCTGGCTGACCAGCCTCTCCTGGGATCCAGGAAACGAGCAAGGAGGAAGTGTGGGCACCTCACTGCTCAAGAGGGACAGGGTCTGGGGAGGGCCAAAAGGGGAAAAGCAGGTGAACCCTGTATGGAAACACCCACCTCGCAGGCCTCAGCTCTGCCCTGGATGCCAGCACCTGCACAGTAGGAAAAGCACCGCCCACTTCCAGCCCCTGATATAAAAGGGGCCTCCAAGGGGCCAGTCAGTGCTATTTTCTCTCTTTCCTCACGAGAACTTGGTCTTGTCAGCTCTCTCTTTCCTCACGAGAACTTGGTCTTGTCAGCTCTGGCAATAAATCTTTCCTTCTACTTAACTTCTTCTGTCCGTGTGGTCTTTTGGGTTACTTTCTTTGGGTTGCTTCCTACCCAGGTTTACATTTTCTCCTTCAAACCCCATTGGTGGAAGTGGGGGTGTTGTTTCCAGGCCTGGTCCTTGGGTTTGTTCTCATCTTCCCCTGCTTCACTTTTTTATTGTGTTCAAATACACATGAGATTTACTGTTGAGACTATTTTAACGGAGGGCTTAGTTTAATAGTACTAAATGCACTCAAAACGTGTAACCACCATAATCATCTACCTCATTCATCTTGTGAAACTTGTCTCCATTAAGCAGTAACTCTCCACTCCTCTCTTGTCTGAGCTGCTCCCTGACCCCAGCCCTGGCAGCCACCATTCTACTTCCTGTCTCTGAGGACTGACTACCCCAGGAATCTCACAGGAGGGGAATCTACAGTATTAGTCTTCTTATGACCGGCTCATTTCACTTTGCCTGTCTACAAGGCTCATTTATGCTGTAGCAGGTGTTGGAATTTCCTGCTTCTTAAAGCTGAGTGATAGATACTGCACTGTATGTTTGTTCCACATTGTGTTTATGCATCCATCCAACCACGGACAGAACACTGGCTTGCTTTGCTTCTTTAGTCTCTTGTGAGTGATTCGGCTAAGAATGTGGTGCACACAGCTCTCTTCCTGTTTGTGTCTTTTTTTTCCCCCCTTGCAGGTGTGAAGCCATGGAGGTTCGGGAAACTTTTGGGTTGTGGATGTTCAGGGTAGTTGATGCGGGGAACTTTTGATTGCCTCCCTTCCTGGTCCTCCTGTTCTTGGCTTCCCCTCCTTGGGGCTGACTGGGGCCATTTTTCTGCCTGCTGGGTTACTGTGTTTTTCCTATTCAGCTTGCTTCAAGCCCAAGGAAAGCTAAGCCTCAGCTCTTTCCAGCTAGGGCCTCTGGGTCCTATTTTGTGCTGGTGCTCGCAGCTTCTGTGCTCTGGGAGCCTCTTCTAGTGAGCACTTATGCAGATAGGTTGACTAGGATTGTGCAGACCAGCTTTCCCAGTGGTCATTTTGACTTCTGAGGGTCCTGTAACTCTTGGAGATCCCCAGGCAGTCCTATACATTGGGGTGCTGGAATCCACAGACATGGTCTCAACAGCCAACGTTGACATTCGGTGGGAAATGTCTTTGAGAATGTCAGGCTGGGATCATCTGGTTTGGTTCTCCATTGTCCCAAGTTTGCTCTGAAATTATAGGTACCTCCTGCCCCCTCTGGCTTACATGATATTAAATTGATGAGAGCAGGACAAATTGGAGGTTTCAATAAAAGCAAATCAGCTGGGCGCTGGAAGCTCATACTACTCAGGAGCATTGCGGTTTGAAGCCAGCCCAGGCAGGAAAGTCCATGAGACTCTTCAATTAATCACCAGAAAACTGGAAGTGGAGTTGTGGCTCAAAGTGGTAGAGCACTAGCCTTAAGTGAAAAAGCTCAGAGACTGTGCCCAGACCCTTGAGTTCAAGCCCCAGGAATGAAAACACAAAAATAAACAGAAAAAAATGAAAAAAAGTAAATCAAAGCTGCAGACCAGCCTGGGGCTGTGGATCCTGCAGAGTTTTTTTTTTGGGGGGGGTGTCAAGGGGGTGGAGGGGTGGGGGGAATGTGGATAGAATCTTTGGATCCAAGGCAGAGCTGGTCCTTTATTGTTAGCAGTGCTTTTATAGAGGCCAGAGGCTTCCTGGTTTGAGTTTTGCTTGCCTCATTAAAATTAGCAAAGGTCCTTGCTTTTATGGGTGCTGGGAGCATGAAATGGAGCCACACCTGGAAGTTCAAGTCCCACACCCAAATGGTCCCCTGGACGTGCTGGGTCCTTGTAACCTTCTTGTTTCTTGGCCCCATACATCAACGAAGCACTGTTCTCAGGGTTGTTTGCTTCTACCAGTGCTTGTCCTTTGGCAGGACACCAGATAGAGTGTGCTGCTTGGAAAACAAGCAGTGTTAGCATGGATGCACTTAGGCTAACCCAGCCACAGCCAGAGGCCAGAGCAGCTTCTCTGTGGTGGCTGGGGTAGCCTTTGATGTGCTTGGATGTCAGCTTCAACCTGGCACGTTGGTGACAGTCAGCTGGCTGTAGGTTCATCTGGCTCCTGGCTGGCCTTTGGCTTTAGGGGATTTTAGGCTTTGGATAACTGGATTCAGGGGGTTGGTGCAGCACTAGACTAGTGAGTTCCAGCCAGTTTCCAAACAGTTTCATCTTTCACAGACTGCTGTTGGTCTTGCCCTGAGGATTGGCATCCCCACATGGAAGGTCATGCTGGTTTTGTCCACCACTTGCTGTTGTATCTGCCAGAAGGCTGTGTTTGAGTCTTCTTGCTCTAGGATAATTTTTATCTGTGTTTGTTGGTGGTGATGTGGACTCATGCAATGCTGACACTCGCTATTATTTGTCACCTGCCTTCCTAAAAACTGACATTAGACACACATTCATTGTTGACACATTATAATTGTCGTGGAGCTTATGCATTTTTCCCTTTCTTCCATAAAATATATAGTTTCTGGTGGGTTGATGCATACTAGTAATTCTAGCTATGCCAGAGATGGAGATCAGGAGGATTTCTGGCCAACCCTGGAAAGTTGGCAAAAAGTTCATGAGACTACATCTCAACTAGTAGCTGGGCATGGTGGTCCACACTAATCTATAGCAGGAGGAATAATTAGGATGATTGTGGTCCAAAGTGGCCTTGACAAAAATTGAGGTCCTATCTAAAAAGACAGCTAGAGCAAACAGGACTGGAGATGTGGATCAAGTGATATAGCACCTACACACATATATGCACACATGGACACACATTCTCTCTCTCTCTCTGTTCCATGTTACCTCTGTAGGCACATATTCATTCATATTTCTCTCATCTGATGTTAAATGAAAACATTTTAACCGTCTCCTGAAAAGATCTTTGGGCAATGTGCCTAGGGAGCAATCAGCCCTGCTGGGCTGTCCTTGGGGGATAGATATGCTCCAAGGGAGCATAGTGGGAGGGGACAGAGTACCCAGTTCAAGCGGTCTTCCCTCTTTTCCTCCCAACAGTGCTGGTGGCCTCAGTTTACCCTCGAAAGCCTCAGGCTGTGGAGCGGCATGTCCTTCCGGTCCTCTGGTACTTCCTGAACAACATGACTGGGAACGGAGTCCTTCCTGGGCATGGTGGGAACGTCCGGGCTGTGGTGTGCCTTTTGTCCAGGAGCCTCCAGGAGCAAATGGGTTCCCGCCTGCAGGACTTTGCAGCCAGCCAGTCCCAGCCAGTCCTCACAACGCTGCGGGAACTCTTAGACCCAGAATCCCTGGGAAGCAGTCACAAAGTCAGTGGCAGCGGCAGGAAGACAACTAGCAGCTCCGGCCTCTTGCAGCTGGATTAAGGATGGATCTGACATGGGCAGTTATTATTATTATTTTTTGGTCCTCTTTTATTTTTTTATGATGAAATAATCTCCTGGTCTATCCTTCCTCCCATAGAGTTCCTGATGTATATAGTATATTTTGAAGTAGAAATAAAAGAAGGACTTATTTTTCTAAGGTTTTCTTATCTTGTACTTTCTTCTTCTTCTTTTTTAACCTCTGAGGATTTCCCAGGAGGTAGCGTTAGAAAACAAATAAAATAAAACTTGATGACCTTGAAGCCAGTTGCAGATGAGATTGAGGCAGAGGGCTGGAAAGGAAGAGGGTAGCACAGACCCATGAGTTGTAGCCCATTTAGGGGGTGGAGAGCCTACCTGCCTGAGAGACACCCACCCAGGCCTTCGGAAACCTAGAGCTCCTGAATTAGTCCCCTGAATCTGGTTTATATGCTCTTGGCCTGGTCAGAGGTGAGTGAAATAGACATCTCTGGGCCCGCGGCTTGTGCCCTGGAAAATCCTCTGGGGCGCAATGTGTTGTCTCTATGGGGCCTCCGTACCCAGCTTGTTAAAAGGCCAGGGGAATTTGGCATTGTGGCATTATCAGACTTCTCTAGAAGCTGGCCTGGTTTCTAGAGAATGCTTCATGTTGGAACCCTATACGTGGGAACACTTGGAAGCGGGTAAAGCACTGTGCATTGCACAGAGTCATGGAGGATCTTTCAAAGTACACAGTCTACTGCAGTTGGGCTGAATCACATCACTGGCAGGGGGAGGGGGAGGGAGGGAGAGAAGGGAGTATTTGGGGCACACCATGGGCCAGGGTGTGACAAGCAGAGACAAGTATTGGTCACTGGTGGAGAAGCCGGTGAACGTGTTCTGGTAGGAGAAACTGGGAAATCAGGCTCTGGACATAGTAAGAGTGGCACTGCTGGGTAACAGGGTAACAATGGTGTAGCCAATGGTAGAGCTCAGGTCAATATCAAACACCCAGGTGGGGCGGCCCTGGGAAGGTGAAGGCTGAGGGGTGTGGCATGGCCAAGGACCCAACTATAGCAACGTGCTGAGGCTCAGTGTTAGGCAGCATGTAGCCTTACCTGTCCATGGTCACATGCCCTGAGATTTGGCATTTTGCCAACTGTTCTGAAGCCTTCCTGGGGAATCTGACCCCATGAAGCCATGTCCCTGGCAATCCCCCCCTACGCCTTGGCCCAAGGTGGGGCCTGGCTTTCACTAGGCAACTTATGTTTTAGCCCCAGCATAGGTGTTCCTGCAAGCATCTCATTCTTCGTGTCAAGTTAATGACCTGCTAGAAAGAGGATTATCCAAAGTTACCAAGAGTGTTTTCAAGTCATCTTAAAGTTTTCTACAGTTTAATTGTATAGAATGTGCTTGCACATTTATATATATATATATATATATATATATACAACACATATATATTTATATATACATAGTAAGCACATATACAGTGCTTGCACATTGTCTGAACAAGCATTTTAGGTTTGAGGACCTATATTTTCTTTCTTTTTTTTTGGGGGGGGGGTCTGGTCATGGGCCTGAACTCTGGGCCTGGGCGCTGTCCCTCAGCTCTTCAGCTCAAGGCTAGCACTCTACCACCTGAGCCACAGCGCCACTTCCGGCTTTTTTTCTTTTTGCTTATGTGGTGCTAAGGAATGGAACCCAGGGCCTCATGCATGCAAGGCAAGCACTCTATCACTGAGCCACCTTCCCAGCCCCAGGACCTATATTTTCTACTTGTCTAGATTGATGAACAGATCAAAATAGTTCAGGAATTTTTTTTATTTGAGCTGTAATAGCCCAGGGACAGTGATTGAGGAGGCAAACATCAAGTTCAACCTCAACTGTATTTCCTGTTTTCCTGTCTTCTAGGCCTACCACAAACCGGAAGCAGAAACTTCCTATCCCCTAAGTTCTGTTCCCCAGCTCATGTGTGGAGGTGTTGAAAACAACAGCAAAACATATAAACCTTTGCACTATCTGTTTCCCTTCAGGTTTTAATCCACTGCTGGGCAGTGAAGGGTTTTGCTGCTCATACCCCTGGTCCTGGTATGCCTTAGGAATTTCAGCTTCAAAAGATTTCTTCACATTATTGCTTCTAAAACAAGGAGGATAGTTCCTTAGTGACTGGGTTCTGGGCCTACGAGGACCAAGTGGGAAGGCCAGTCCAAGAGAGTGAGGAGTAGAGAGGGCCTCACCCCATTTTTGCTGGTTGTACAGGGGCCAGAAACTCTGCCCATAGGAGATATTCCTGGAGCGAAGAACCTGGCCTCTGGTTGTGGGAAGTCTTGCTCTCTCTCTCTCCACTCCTTCCCACTCTCTCTAAAGCTTGAGAATAATAGACCAGAGACTTGTCAAGAACTGTATCTGCCAGGACTTACTTTCTCATCAAGTGGAGTTGCTGAGATTTCAGGAAATTTTGCTGTCAGCCCTCACCTGTTTTTCTTTTCATTTTCATTTCTCATTTCCACATTCTGGGAGAGCAAATGGGTCTTCACTCACACTGAGCTTCAGAATTGTCTTGCAAGAATGATAGAATATGGCACCTGGCCCTTTCCTCAGGCTTTTGCTTAAGTTTGTCTTGGGGTAGAGCCCAATCCCCCACCCTTCCTTCCTTCTTTCTTTCCTTCCCCTCTTCCTCTTCCTCTTTCCCCCTCTTCCCTTCCCCTCATCTTCCTCCCACTTTGCTTCTTTTCTTCCTTTCCTTTCCTTTCTAGAGCCATCTCCCTCCTCCTTTTTAGTTGATCCAAATCTGAGCCTCAATTTAGAAACCATAATATAATGGGCCTGTACAAAAGTGGCAATGGCTTTGCTCCTGTGGCTCCAGGCATGCCAGCTCCTTTCCCTTCTTAGTTCTGGAGACTCGAAGCCAGGCACTGGAGTCAGAGATCTGGGTTCAATTCTGAGTATTCTAGATGGCTGGTATGTGGCTTTAGACTCCCTTGTCAGCCTCTCTGATCTTACTTTCTTTGTCAATCCCGGGGCGGGGCGGGTATGTGTATGTGTATGTGTATGTGGTGGTGGTGGTGCTGTGATAGCAATGCCTCTCTCACTTGGCTGCTGAGGATGATGGAGAATTCTTGAAAAGAATTGGGCACAGTGGCTCAAGCTTGTAATCCTAGCTATTTGGTAGGCAGGAATCAGCCCATGACATAAAAGCTTGCTAGACTCTATCTCAACCAATGGCTAGGTTGGGTGGTGCACATCTGCCATGCCAGTGGCTGTGACTCTGGCTGCAGAAGGTAGGCGCAGTGACTGGGTGCAGAAGGGGTATGCCTGTCATCCTCAGTGACACAGGGGAGCACAAATAGGATCACAGCTCAGACCAGTTAGGCTATAATGTGAGAGGCTACGTCAAAAATAACCAGCACAAAATGAGGCTAGAGGTGTGGCTTAAGTGATAGTGTTTGCCTAGTAAGTATGTGGCTCTGAGTTCGATCCTGGGTACTGTCAACGATAATAATAATAATAATAGTAGTAGTAATATAAATTATTGAAAGGTACTTAGCATAGGGCATGGGCTCCTGGAACACTAGACAAGCATTGGCCATGATGTCTGGGAGCCATTGTTTTAGGATCAGCTAGTCATCAGGGCTTGGCAGGGTCTCTTTTGTCCCTGGCTTGGAAGAAGAGAGAATGTGCTGGGCTTCATGGGGCCTGAGATCCTTTGTAAGCTTAGGAGTTGCTTATCTTCTATTTTTTCTTTCTTTTGTGCCTTAGCTTTTTCACTCAAGGCTGATGCTCTCCCACTTCAGCCACAGCTCTACTTCCAGCTTTTTGCTGCTTTATTGGAGATAAGAGTCTCGTGGTCATTCTTGTCCATCCTGGGCTGGGGTTTGAACCTCAGTCCTCAGATCTCAGCCTCCTGAGTAGCTAGGATTACAGGTGTGAGCCACCAGAGCTAAGCTGGGCGACCTATCTTGAAGAACTCTACTAGGAAGCTAGTGCTTTTCTCCGGTTGCCTGCCTCTTTGTCCTTGGTTATCAGGCCTTTTTAGCTACTCTTGGTTTTCCCAACCCCCATCTTCCTATGGAGAGAGACTTGGACAAGCTTCTCCCTCCCTGCTTGCTCTGACTCAGATCTCACAGCTGGAGGCAGAGGATTGGGAGAGCAGAGCCCTTTCCAGCTGAAAGTGATTCTAAGAGGGGGGCCAACGAAGGAAGAGCATCCTTGTGCCTGTTCCCCACGGCTCTGGGAGGACAGTGTCAAGCGCAGGACCCAGGTGATCTCTAGGTGGGTGCTTCTCTGTATGGACCGCATGGGGGCTGTGTTTGGTCTTTAATACCAGGGTTTATTCAGAGGGTGGTCTGGATTCCCATATCTTATTTCCTGGCAAAGAAGGCGATAATATTGGAAGATTTTCTTTTGTTTTTAATCATGGTTTTATAATTACCTCTCTGTGGGGTGACAGCTGTTAGCATCACCTTGGGTTCTCCTTGACAAGTTTTATATCTGGAAAGTGATCCAGTACCTGGGAGACGGCTGCAGAGGGCAGGAGCTGTTAACTAAACAATAGCGTTAGAAAAATCACAGGGGTTTGTAAACATAGCCAATCCTGTCCCTTTCCAAAGGGGGGGGGCGGGGGGGCGGGGGGGGAAAGTGCTAAATAAATAGCTCTGGTGGAGGCAATTTGTTTTCCAGGTTCTATATTTTCTTTTCTGTCTCATCCACTGGCTTTCAATGCTTTGAGGTTCTGGCAGTAAAGTCAGCGCTGTCTTCAGTCGAAGGATGCTGTAGCTGTTGTTGCTGGGGTGGGGGATTGTCCCCTGATGTTTTGGGAATATTCTTTTCATCTTTGTCCTTTTAATTTTTAATTTTTATTTGTGGTATGTGTATGTGCTGGTACTGGGGCTTGAACTCTGGCCTGGGTGCTGTGTCTGAGCTTCTTTGCTTGAAGCTAGTGCTTTATCACTTGAGCCACAGCTCTACTTCTGGCTTTTTTTGGTGCTTAATTGGAGATAAGAGTTTCACTGAGTTGGCTTTGAACCTTGATCCTCAGATTTCAGCCTCCTGATTCTAGGCATGAGCTCCTCTTCTCTCCCCTACCTTCCCCTCCCCTCCCC